AGCAAAACACGGGAAATTTTTTTCATATGGTCAATATTGATCATTTAAAAATGTAGTACTCAATCCCAGTAAGCTGCCATCTTTTCAGATGTCTTTCAGGAAGTGATGTCATCGACTCTCACCTGTTATAACCTTGTCTATTACAGTATAGGAAAGAAGTACAAAATCACTTCTAAACAAGAAGCCTTTATCTTCTGTGTAAAAATATTTTCAGGAGTTGTCAATTTAGAACTAAAGAAGAGATCATCAAAAGGGTTTTAATCATAGACCAAATTGAAAAAAATATTCAACTGGTTTACTAATTCTAATAGCTCCTTACCTAATGTTATATGCAAAGTTGAGAGTCGATGACATCACTTCCTGAGTGAAATTTTAAAAGATGGCAGCCTACTGGAATTGAGCACTACATTTTTAAGTGATCAATATTGACCATTTCAAAACATTTTTCTGTTTTTTGATAAACTTGCAAAGTATGTATATGGTTATAGCTTCAATATTAGGAGAGAGATGGTCTGGCAAGGAATACCCCTTTAAGAGTTTTAAAGGCACAAATAAGATAGACAATTTGAATTTTCTGAGGCACAAATCAGGAAAACAATACCAAAGTAGTGATCTGCTCTAAATTTCCTTCAATTTGAGAATAATATAGCCATACTTTGAAGAGATCAGAAAATTATTGTGAAATTCTACATAAGGAGGCAGCCATTTTGAATTTACGAGGCCCAAATAACAAACCGATTCAATATTTGCAATCTTCTTTAAATTGCCTTTCATTTGAGTATAATAAAGCTATACTTTAGAAAGATCTCAAACTTAATGCAAATTCACATTTTCCTGACCCCCCCCCCCCCCCATACATTGCTCCTCAGGGTCATGGTGAAAAACTCAGAATATATTTGAAATAGATGGATGTTGTGAATACACTACCAAAATTTAAAACACTAATATTTATTACTTTGATTTTCACGAAAAGTTCCTGCCATTTTTAAAGCAGTGGCCATCTTGGACATTTTTTTGTTGCGTACAATACACATCTTTCCACCAAATATGAAAAAAATCTGTCCATTAGTATTCGAGTTATCTTCCGAATGAACAGAGGGCTTCACTATGTCCCTATCAAACTTTGTTTGTTGGGATAAAAGGCTCTGGATGTTTCCTAGCCTATGTTCGGATTACATTTCAATTGGTAATGGTATTCTTTATTGATATTGTATTGTAATTTGGTGAGTAATACCTCATTGGTATTTTCAATATTTTAGGTATTTTACACCCGAAGATCCAGAAACCCCTCCTTGTAGGAGCCCTGTGTTCTTTAACATGCACCAGTACACAGGCAAACAAGTACACACCCCAGCCTTTTATATGAGTTGTGGACTACTCAAACACCACGAATTACATAAAGCACACACAAATTTGTCTGAACAATGCCAGGGCCAAGCAATAATAGTAACCTTGGCTCTGCCAGGGAGCCCTAGCAGATGGACTATGCAGAATTTTATGGACTAAAAAGTGTTGTTTAAGAGAACCCTGATAAAAAAACATGTTATATAATTGATGATCAGACTGCTATTTAAAGAAAACTACACAAGCAAGTCAATACTCCAACAGCTCTGAAAACTATCAGCACATAGACATTATAATACACTCAAAACAGGTTTTAAGATAATGTACTAACAATGTTCCTTTTTGTGCTTAAACAAGCATATATCTTTAAGTAACATTTAAGTACCATACAAAACCTCTTGAATTTGCCACTGATATTTAATTATAGGTGATCTGGTGATTTTTTATTATTTTTGTTTATTATCATTAGTTAGATAATACCTCATCATATTAAAACCCCACACATTTCTAATCTTGCCATGTCCAGATCTGATTCCTCATTAATGCTCAAAAATGGAAAACTAAAGAATATATGCTTCATAGAATATCATTGGCCAAATATGCCTCATTAGACACTGCTGGCTAATAATAGTAATGATGAGCCGTAACTGAACATGTGGTAGATATCTATTTAATCACAAATCAGTGCTGACACAACAAAAAATCATCAATTTGCATTCCAGAAACCAAGATCATTGTTAAACACTGGAATTCAATTTGTTACTTACATACAGACTATTATTTACTTTAAGTCGACAACCTTAAATATAAACATTATTTCTTATAAAAAATGAGTCAGATTTGAACTTCTGAGAATTTGTAAAGGATTCTGAAAAAAAAGTTGTCAATTTGAAGCAAGATGAAAAAATACCTTTTTGGCCTTGAGAAGGTCATTGAAGGTAAAGTCTTTTTTTACCTTGAGAATGTCATTGGAGGTCAAATTTATAGTCAGATAACTTTTGAGAACTTGTAGATGATTTTGAAAAAAAAGTAAATTTGAAGCAAGTTGAGAAATACTTTTTTTGACCTTTTTTGATCTTTAGAAGGTAAAGTCATTGAAGGAAAAATCTCAAATCTAAAGTCAGATTAGAACTTCTGATAATTTGTAGATGATTTTGAAATTTGGTCAATTTGAAGCAAGTTGAAAAAAGACCTTTTTGACCTTTTTAACCTTTTGTGACCTTGAAAGACTGAACTTTATTCGATGGGATTATTATAGCATGTAAATCATAGGTGTATACCCCCTTGAAAGCTGATGATAGGCAACCCCTGCACAGCAAATAGTCTAACCCATGATTTAAAAAAAACATAAAAGGAAATAAAGAATATAAGCTGTCAGTCCATCACATTTTCATATACTTTTGGGGGGACTGACTTTTTCACATCAGCCCTTAGCACAGGATTTCATTCTGTGTTTTCATGAACTAATACTACTTCTCTTTAGGGGGAATGGCCTGTGGGAAAGTCCACATGACATCATGAATAGTGTGATTGACATCCTGGAAAGACAGGTAACTTATATGGGGTCCAGAAAACTGGGCATGTAAGACATGGCTGCAATGCTGTATATGCAATGTTGATGTGAAAAAGCCAGTCGGTCCTGTAGCTCAGTGGTAGAGCACTTGCCCAGACAGCGAGGGGTCGTGGGTTCGATCCCCACTGGGGTGGACTGACTTTTTCACATCAGCCCTTAGCACAGGATTTCATTCTGTGTTTTCATTAACTAACATATATGATTGTTGGTTTTGCCATTTTGTGCTTCAATGCATATTGTCCCCTTATAACTAGGAAAACCTAAGTTTGTTATTAAACATCACAAAAATAATCTTATTTAATTATTATCCCAATGAACGAAGTTTGGAGGGATATAGGGAACGCCTCCATCCGTCTGTCCATCCGTCTGTCCGTCCATCTGTCCGTCCGGGCAATAACTCAAATACCGTTGGCCCGATTTTGTTCATGTTTTGTACACATATACCCTATGGGGGTAGAAGTTCTGCTCTGAAACCAATTTTGAAAATGGCCACTCATTTAAAAAATGGCGGCCATTGTAGTGCCGATTTTACAGTAATTTAGGTGCAATATGTAAAACTGTAATAGCAATATGTTTTAAATGTAAAATAATTATATAGGACATTAATAAAGCTAGAAATGTAGATATTAAAGAAGCACTTGGCAGCCATCTTGAAAAATGGCTGCCTTTACTTGTTATTTTACCATTTTTGCTGTAACTCGAAAAGTAGTGGAGCGATTTTGTTCATATTTGGTATGTGAATACTATCAGCATGGCATACTGTCTAACGACACTTTAAGTAGAAGGCGGCCATTTTGAAAAATGGCCGCCATTTTAACATATTTTACTATAACTTGAAAAGTAGATTTTGTTCATATTTGGTATGTGAATACTTTAAGCATGGCACACTGTTTAATGACACTTTTGGTAGAAGGTGGCCATTTTGAAAAATGGCTGCCATTTTTGTTATGTACTTTGTTTGTAAAATGCCAGCAATGGCTGTTCGATGGGATTTGCTACGCTTTGGCGTTGCTGTTGTCTAGTTTTCAATTTACTAAGATCATGACAGATATTCTTACAGCTTCAAAATATAGACAAGACATACAATGATTCTTTTGAGTGCACTTAAGTGCAAGAAAAAGTCTTCTTCACATTGCCTTCAGCTAATAATTTACAGCTAAAAGAAGCTTTTTCATTCATAAATCTCGTACTTTAATCTAGCTGTTATAAAAATTGGATGCAGTAATTGCTATTTGATAGTGATATACTGATAAGTACAGACAGACATGCTAGAAAGTGATAACACGCTTCAAAGGTTTACCAGTTTTCCTGCATTTTCCCAAAAATGCCATATTTGTGTGATAAACATTGGTTACTGTAAACACTAATTTAATATAGCTATACAATCATTAATGACAAAAATCTTCCCATGATCACCACATTTTGCTTAACCACAATTATCTTTAAGATAGTGCTAGAAAATAACTTGCTGATGAACCCATGACTTATGAGTCTTGTCATCTACATATATACTGTATTTTTGTGAAAAGGGCTGAAATACATTTGAACTTGATTCCAATTCTCGGGATTCCAATACAATATTTACTATTTTCAAGAACATTAAGTTCACATCCTGTTAAAAAATAAATTGATTCACCAATCTACAATCACAATCTACACCAAAAACAGTAAACCACATTTACTTCTGAACCTAATCATACAAGCATATTGTTTATTGTAGCTGGATAGAACTATAGTTTCAACCTAGAAAGTACAAGGTTGATGGTCATTTCTCTGTTGCAATGCTTTGTTACAAAATAATCTTAAAGATAAATCATCATCTTCATCATGCTTCTGTACAATTTCTTATCATTTCAATTTTGATTGCATCACGTTGTTTCATTAGTTCCACTTTTGATTTCTATGTATAATATATTCAATAGCTCATCCCATGGTACCAATGGGAATATTTCAAATCATAAGTAATTTAATCATGGTTAATATAAGGTATTCGATAAAAAATGTTTTGCCATTAAGTTGTAAAGACTGTAGGAAAAGCAAAATGAGTAAAAACTAACTTGATAATAACAAATTCTATACTTACCATACTTGATTTGAAGCAGCAAGTTTGAAATTCCATAAATAAACTTATATTGTAAAAGATAAAGTCAATCCTCTAATCTCACTTTAATGTTGATTAAATACCATATCTGTCAATTTCCACTCAATGTTCTTTTCTTTAATGACCAACAATCCAGTTTTATTATTATTATGTGATGCTGCCTCTACGTAGTCATCTCTTGTATTATTGCTACTATAGATGAGATATAGGGTGATAGCCTCAGTGAGGAGTCTGAGAATAAATCAAGATAGCTCAGATCAATAGGTAAATAGTTGTAATAATCCACAGATTCTGCAACATGTGTTGCTGTGAAAAGAAGTTTTCAAGTTTTTCAATTAAATGAAGGTCAATTAGAAATTACTGCACACGTGTGGCAAATAATAATTAATTTAATTGCTTAGTTTTGCTTTAAAAAAGTAATTGTCCTGAATTTCTGATTAGCAAATGCTGTAATCCTTTACAACATTTCTCCGTGAGCAGAGAGTAGAGTTCCCACACATTTCTTTATCAGTACTAATAAAAATGAAGGATAATATGTTGCAGAATGTAACACATTAAATATCAGCTAATGGGTTTCTTTGTAAACATGAAAAATTGATGTAATTCTATGTTACCTGAAATATTGCATGAGCTGCACATTTTCCCACATCCCAATGGTAAAGTAACAGAGTAACAGTTTAATCATGAGGTAGTTACTAATGTTAATGTCCTTTGTAAAAGCCATTAATGTTTCCATTATGCACAGTAAACAAATATGTTTATGGTATTTATTCTATTAACTGCTTAACTGCATGATTAGAGCAAAATGAATTAGACATGGCATGTTCATAATATCATTTCACTTTAAAACTCTTTTATCTATTTTGCCATTTATTAGTTTATTGTTTACTGCTATTCTGTTACTATATTCATGTATCATTTTAAAGAAATTCCTGAGATTTTTCTACATGTTGAGCTAAATCAAATATTCAGCTATCTACTTAACAACAAAGAAACCTTAAACTCTATTTCTAAACTCATTTTCTTGAAATTAATTTTCTGAAACAAGAATAGACTTGGGAAATTCACATGTTATCTGATTGGTTGTTAAAGGACATCTCTTGCTGTATCCATCCTGGTCCCGCTCCTTAAAATTACAAAAATCATTATCTTCTATAAAGGATGTAGAGCACTCTCCATTATGATTTCCCCATGAGAAAAAATTAATTCATCTGCTTTTTCAAAATGAATAAACTGATTTATTATTACATTTATATGTACACTTGTATCTTGTTGACCTATATTCAACACTGTATTGATGAATCGGCCTCTTATTAGGGTCAATATTCAATCATGAAGTGTAGAGGCGTAGATGATAAATCAGCTAAACATTATGTGTCTAGCAAAATCCATTCGCATCCTACGCATCCCTCCATCTGATCCAAATATGTTACTAAATAATGAAATATATTAGTATGCTGTTTGGATTTACAAAGTTGTGTAGCATTTGAGTGTAAAAGCTGCTTTGGGAACATTTTTCTATAGTCATTTTAATAGTAATATTTTAACTTAAAGTATGACCCGAATCGTTTGCAAACATCATATTTGCACATTTGATGAGATAGTCCATTTATGTCACATTGTGAAATTATTAAATTTGAAATCGATTCAGGTCATAGTGTATTTTTGGTATATTTTTGTGATAATCAATGGAAATCATTGGCTTATATTGGAATATGATGATACACCCTAACTGAACTCAATAACCTCAAAATCAGCCCAAACGCTTAAATATTTCCAAAGTGTTATGTGACAATGTATTCTTCATGGTACACCAAAAAAAGATTCATACTGACCAGGGAGATATTTGCCCATAATTGCGCTATGTCCTTTGAAAAAATATATTTCTGAAAAATTTCACTTCAAGTTTTAAAATTAAAATATGTATCCAATATTTTGAAACTTGGAATGTTCCTAGAATCGCAGTGAAGGTATGGGATACATCTGTTATGTACAATCAGTTTTGGGTACAGGGTTCATTATTTAGGATAAATCCTGTGCACAAAGCCTCTTAGTACACACTCCTTATGGTTAACAAAAATAAGAACCTCATACAGTTGATAAGAAACCAAATTCATGTATCTTAAATATATATTAAGATATTTCAAGGCTTAAAATTAATGATAGTCTTAAAAAATGTAATACAGGTGGAGACATTTTGCACGTTATTGCCTTGTCTTATTAAAAAATTAATCATAGTTTTAAAAACTGTAATACAGGTGGTGACATTTTGCACGTTAATGCCTTGTCTTATTTTCCAGTTACCACTTAAGTCATGATGTATCTAAAAAAGAAAACAATGTGTTTTATAACTAGATATTTTTATCTGTAACTGCCATTTGAACACTGAGCAAACATAAGGCACTTAAAAAATCAATGTCAATTACTCAATGTCAATAAAGCTTAACTGCAGCTGACTTGTGATTTTTTCATTCTTTAGATTCTAGCTCATAACTTCCTAACTTCATTATTTCATGTAAATATTAAATTCATAATGTTAAGCATTCTAGAAATGCTTGTACATTTGTGTAAAGCTTAGAGTTTATATTAATACATACCAAAGAAACAGTTAATCTACCCAACAATGTATGCTCATAAATCAATGCAAAGCATACTGAAAACAATTCTCTTCTGTTTGTGTACCTACTCAAAAACCATGACACCTTGATAATTTGTATAACAGGAAATGTATTGCAAAATCATAAGAAATCAAGAAAACCTTACAGTTGATTTTTCAAATCAGATGTTACATTATACCAATTACAATAACCTTCTCTGTGTAATGGTTTTATCTTTGTACACACGTAACCTTCTGTTTGGTGTCTGTACGAATCTTCTAACAAACCACCTTGCAAACTCTGTAACTAAAAATGGCTAACATTCCCTCCCCAGTCAAATAAAACCATGATGAAATGAGACATTTCATTTATACTGAAGTCATAACAATACATGCTGTGGAACAAATTATAAAAAATATATAGTCAACATCTTTACTTGAAAAAAGTAGTAATATAAGAATAAGTTGAAACCACAAAATAATAAAACATTACTTTATCATAATTTCTTACTTGAAAGTACCTCCCGTGAGAAAGCACAGTTAATCTCCAAATTTGTAAATGGGAAGGAGGAAGTTGACCAAAAGTCAGCTAATTGTTAATAAAATATATCAACCGGGGAGGAAATGGACCATAAGTTGGCATTTTAGAGCAAATTACATAAATTGATCACATACTGACCATTAGTGTGTGCACTTTTATAACCCATTAAGAGTGAATTTTTTTAATTAGGATGGACAATTCCTGAGAGATTAAAAGGAATAAATTGCTTATATTCTTTATGTTTTCACAATTGTGACTTCCCCCATGTCCCTTGACTCTAATTCTCAATCTCAGTCATAGTCTCCAACATACCACCACTGAGTGTTGGCAGATGAATCAATCCATCTTAGAAACCCTCAGGACATTTTTATTACACGAAGGGAAATCTTGTTTATGTGAGAAAATCATGCTGAAAACAGATGCACATGACTATAAGTTCCTCCTTTATTTCATAAATTTTAAATTATGATGTTTAATGTTACATGACTTTGATTTACCAATAATAAGCTACAAACAAACATCAACTGGGCTGTCTGATCAAGAGTCTTCTGCTGGAATTTTCTCTAATATTTTGTAATTTACACTTATATTTTACCAATATGACAAATTGATACAACATAGTAAATATAACTCATCATTATATACAGTGATACACTTCAATGGTAGAACTAATGAATACTTCATTTATTCTGAAATGCCCATTTGCTTGGGGGCAGTGATAAGTTGAAGCTTAGCAATACCATTGGGACTCCCTACCTACCTAATTGGCATAATGGACAGTGATGTATAGGGCTCAAAAAGGCTAATTGATTGCTTAGATTTGAGCTGTCATTTGCTAATGTCAGAAAAAGTGGCAAATGGAATTGAAAATAATTCTTAAATAAGGGTACTAAATTTTAAGGTAAAACTTATTATCAGTCCCACCAAAAAGGTGAAATGTTCACTCAAGTTTTTGAGATTGTGACTATGCCATTTGTCAGCTCAGTCCACTGCTGCCTTGCATTTAATGGTGTGCATCACATCTCCCCATTTATGAAGAAATTTATAGAGTAAACTTCAATATGACATAAGAAAAATACAACCATTATTTACTATCAACCATGATTGAAACCTTGTGTTTGATAATCACATATCAAGAATAACAATTACCATTAGTTTCATCTGTTTAGTGTGTAAGAGGCAGTGATTAATGTAAACTAGGTGAAAGGCTCTTACTATTAAATTCATTTGATTTTGTAATTTTCTGTAATATGATATTTTAGTCGTAGATTGATACTTGAATAGAGAGTTAATGTGACACTACTCTTTTTTAAGATTTGGGGTAGTGAGCATGTATTGTCTCAGATGATTAACACATTCTTGATATAAGAGATGTTCATATCATTTTATTATCATATTTGATGTGAGCATCAACAAAGTTTGGATTTTTAATACTTTGCATGCATGATTTATTTGTCCAGACTGTCTCTAAAGTACCATTACTAAAAGTGTGTTATCCTAAATTTGCATTGGTGGCTCCACAGAATATTTTGAAATGAGGATAAATGAGAATTTTAGAATAAAGAGCTCTGTTTAAAATGAAATCTTTCAAGAGAAAGGGGAGAGTTTCAAAGTACTTTGGTTAACTCTTCAAAGTACAAAGAAATTAAATTTCCATTTCAAATATTTTTCCGATTATTTATCTTCCTGTTGATATTTTAAGATTGCATTGAACATATTCAAAACAGGATTCGTTTAGCCTTATATTTACAAATTTTAGATTTGTGCAGACCTTGAAACTTTATTCTGTACAATAACAATTATGTTGTTTTTTTATTTCTCAATTCACCCCTTGTAGGGTATATAGAGTTATACAAAGAATGAACTTAACTACTACAGAAACAAACATTAAAATAACATGTTATATACATGTACATTTTTGCCCAGACTCGATTAAAAATTGACAAAGTTTTATTAGTTTATTTTTGTTTGAATTCATTCAAATGGAAGGTACCAAAAACTATAATGAAACCTTGCAAGAAAAGCAACATGTAAGTGTAAACTTGTCATAAAGAAAACAGACCCAATATATCCAGAAATCATGATCTAATGGGAAAAGAAATGATGTTGAACACCCTACATCTGTTTGTCAGGCAAAAGTAGCCAGGAATTAATCCTCTTTAGTGTTTATGCATTATAAAGAATATAAACATAAATATTTTTTAAATCAATTTGTTAATATAGAAGTATGAATACAATCAGATTATTCAGATCCTGAACTTGATGACAAGAACTGTTTTGTAGTCTCAAACTCTGAGAAACTTAGATAAAATTGTTTGTGACTGAGTTTGAAAAATTTAAAGAAGCCATCATTTAATTTAGCCAGTATACCCAAAGCCTAATCAAAATCAGATCTTGGTACTAATCTGATCTTGCATCTGTAAAACTTGAAAGGATAAGTGGTTTTCCTGGAATTTATATGACAAGATTTATTGAAAAATTCTAAATAATGTACACAGTATGCCCTAAACCTAACCAGATCTTGGCACCAGTT